ATTATTTAGGAGCATTATAAATATTATAGTTTTAAAGTAAAAACTACTATTGTTACAAATAACACATTCAATTGAACTAAACTATGCATGCCTATTTAAGTATATTTACACATGGCTTGTGTATATCGTATATATATATATACATACATATTATTCATACCTTCGGTGTATAGGACGCAAGCAGAATTTGACATCAAATTTTGGGGTAAAAAAGTGCGTCTTATACACCGAAAAATACGGTTGAGTATTAATAAATATTCAACAGTTTAATCTTACTCTTAAGAAATACAAATATAACACATAAAACTGAGAACTTTAGTCGTCAATTTAATGTTTCGATCAAAGGCATCAAATTACTTCTGTATTCATTAAAGATGTGAATAAATTATTTATTGCGACAGGTTTTCACTATTTATATGACACCCTACAAACAAAAGTACTTATTTTACTATTCTTATTATAAACAGGGCCGGTTTGAGTTATCTGAACAACTGTTGCATAGTAGGAGTTCGGTTTGAAAATTAATTTCAACCAAACGAGGATTAACGTTTGAACTTCCAACTTTGTTTTCATAGTTCACGTTTGTTAGAAAGGGTGTTTGTCGGTAGATGAATAAAATATAGCTTGTAAATATCCGTTTATTGTTGCTATTGCATCTATTGTTCGTTAATAGATTAGAATTATTGTTGTAGTTTTCTTTTTTATAACTGAATGTCTGGATGAACAGAACCTTTCTGTAACTGAAACTGTATTTGTAATTCACAAAGTTGGTTCCTATTTTTTATTGTTGGGTGTCTGGATGAATAGAATCTTTCTGTAACTGAGACTGTAGACATAATTCATAGTGTTGTTTCCTGTTTCTTATTGTTGGGTGTCTGGATCAATAGAACATTTCTGTAACTGAGACTGTAGACAGAATTCATAGTGTTGTTTCCTGTTTCTTATTGTTGGGTGTCTGGATGAATAGAATCTTTCTGTAACTGAGACTGTTGACAGGTAGACAGAATTCATAAGACACCCAACAATAAGAAACAGGAAACAACACATTCTATTCATCCTTTCTGTAACTGAACTGTAGACAGAATTCACAGTGTTGTTTCGTGTTTCTTATTGTTGGGTGTCTGGATGAATAGAATCTGTTTCATACAGTTCTGATTCTTGTAGAAATTGTACCTGACAATTTCAATATTTTTGTGGGAAAAACGTTCCCGTGTCAGCTAGGCCTTTAATGAATATGAATATTAGCAAAACTAATCTACCGTTATTACTTCATTATTACAAAATAATAATGTGATCAAATTGATATTTATATAAACAAAACTAAACTGTAGTATAGCCTTTTACTCACAGATCTATTTCTCGAGGATTGTTCATTATTATTCAACTGGGCATTTTAAACGGCAAACGCTCGGTTAATATTTCTAGTGACCTTTGCAGACTCCTGCAACTTTTTTATCCTAGAAAATTTGTACTTTTGGCATCCACTGGCTTGTCTCCTCTTTTCAGACTGTTGTCAGGCCCAAGACTTGCTTAAACTTTGCAGTCATTTCATGATTTTCCTCAGATTTTTATACAAAATACAGAGCTATTAGGTAATAGTCAGCAGAGAAGTATGGTGCTGTAACTTGTGTGTACGCTTAAGCAGCGTGCAGTCATGTTCGGTCACGCTTGAACAGATCTGCGAAAGTATCTAGGCCTATATCTAGATATTGGTTTACAGAATGTGATGCTTTTGGCTGTTTAAAACACTTCCCTCAAAAGGTTATGAATATGTTTTATATTTACCTGTGGCAAGGCCTGTAAAAAGAGTATAAATATTGGCTGTATATTATTGTTCTAAATATATTCTATGTTTATTATAGTGTTCTACATCAATTTAGCCATTAGAGATAGATAAAAAAATCACGGGTTTAAATTTTATTAAATAGTAAGTATTAAATTTGAGGGGGCACCACTGATCGAATTCTAGGTTTTTTTCCGGTTTCACAGCGGTCAACCCACCATTGGTTTTGTACATATCTTCTAGACAGTGATTACAGAGAGTACATCGAAAAGTAACTTGCCAAAGCTAAAATACATCAAAATACTTGGTTATATCCTAAAGAGACACTATTAAAACATGTATTCACAAAATACTGGGGCATTTCCTAAAGAGATATTATTAAAACATGTATTCACAAAATACTGGGACATTTCCTAAAGAGACATTATTAAAACACGTATTCACAAAATACTGGGTTATATCCTAAAGAGACATTATTAAAACATGTATTCACAAAATACTGGGACATTTCCTAAAGAGACATTATTAAAACACGTATTCACAAAATACTGGATTATATCCTAAAGAGACATTATTAAAACACGTATTCACAAAATACTGGGTTATATCCTAAAGAAACATTATTAAAACACGTATTCACAAAATTCTGAGGTATATCCTAAAGAAACATTATTAAAACACGTATTCACAAAATACTGGGATATATCCTAAAGAGACATT